AAGTTCAAATAAATAGAAAAAACCCAAAGCCGATTTTCAATGTGCCTGGATCGTAAAGAAAAACCAACGGGTAACAGCAAATTCACATTAAACCAAAAAGGGTAGTTTCTTTTAATTTGAATAAAGTTTCACTGAATCTGGATATAGTTTCATTTAATTTGAATAAAGTTTAGTGAATCTGTTTTTTTTTTATACATATATACGTGTATTTATTTGTTGGATCTGCTTATTTTACAAGCCTAACAACAAGTTTACGTCTAATTTACAATGTTATTGCTTAAACCCTGGGGTTGAGCCCTGTTGGTTTAACGTCGCTTAACAAAATGCTGATATATCTCTTCTTCGCAGGCGTGATAGATTTATTGTGTTGCATAGGCCACTTGCCAGTGGATTTGGGTGATTACGCAATTTTATTTTACATTTTTCTTTGCTGCAGTCGATTACAAATTTAACCATAGATTTACCAAGATTCCTATGTATATTTTCGTGGCGGACATACCACGGTGTTCCAATTAAGGTGCTTAGCGTTTTAGATTGGAATCTATGGATCCTGTTAATGTTGGTTGCACAGGTCGTACGCCTCAGTTGAATACCATACATCCATATAGGCTTAATGACTATATTATATATAAGTACTTTTTTTATCTAGTTTCAATTTTGATTTACTGTTTATGAGCCAGTTTACTCTAGCTGACTTTAGCTACAATTGTTTTATCTTGGTTGATATGTGCTTGCGCCAAGTTAGTCTCCTATCAAAGTGCATTCCGAGATATTTCACCTCATTGGCTTGTGGAATATGGACATTATTTAATTGAATCTAGAAATAGTTTCATTTTATTTCAAAAAGGTTTCGCTTAATCTGATATAGGTTTCATTTAATTTGAAAAAGGTTTCTCTTAGTTTGAAAAAGGGGCGATTTAAACTGAAAATGCTTTATAAGGAAGGAGTTACAACATTTTTTGCGACCCAGTTATACAGAGATGTGAATATAGTTTACCTGTTTATTTCAAATATTTAATATATTCCTTCGAACCTGGTTTTAGGTACTCAATTTGGTTTTTTTTTTTTAAGATAAATTGAATTGCTTTCACGCAAACTCATGCGTATACATATTTACATACGTACATACCTTACTACATAATTCTAGAAAATGACTGTACCGATTTTTATGCAATATTTCAGTTTAATCATTGCTTGTATAATTTTGTCTTTTAGTTTTGGGAGTAATGCTACTACTTTTTGTCATAAGTATCACTGGCTTTTTCATCATGTGGTTTACAGAGTACTACAACAACACAATGCTTTCGGTAAATGTATACACGATATTTGCATTTACCTTTTCGTAAAGTATTTATTTATTTCAGCAAATAGTTTTAAAAAATAATTCTGAGATAGCGCGAAATTGGATGGATCCAGATCCTAAATATGACACACTATTGAAAGTACACATATTCAACTACACAAATATTGATAACTATTTGGCTGGAATCGATGATAAAATTAAAGTGGAGGACATAGGGCCTCTAACGTATAAAGAACATACAACTAAAGTTGATGTTTCATTTAATCAAAATTACACCGTCACCTTCAGGGTAAGTTGGATTTTAACACATATTAGCCCGCTCAAGTTAGATATTCAAGGTTATAATAATTCGCATAAAACAGAAAATTGGCACGAAAAAATGTATTCAAGGTCAAAGGTGATATAAGGTGATTTTTAGCAAAACGGCAAGGTTTATAATAAGGTTCGGAAATATTCACTCAGCTTCGTACGCGAACGCGAACGTGAACGTATCAAATATTCCCTATTGATTCTCCTTCGCGACCGGGAAGTACAAAACAAGTCCAGATCGTTCGCGTTCGCGAATGTCAGGTAGAAAACCTTTCCGCTGTTATTCGTACGCGTATGTATTGGTAGACCAAACAGCGTGCGTTCATATATGTAGCTATAAGTGGCATCGATGCCTTCGCGAAGGTTAACTGCTGTCGTTCTCGTTCATAAGTGAATGTAAATGCTGCATCAAAACTTCGCGGAAAGTTGATAGGACTTGGTCTCTAGATATGAAATAAGTTTTTATTTTTAAAAATTATAAAATCTGCACCGTTCGATGGATTAAAAGAAATAAGGTGCCAAATGAAAGGGCTGGGCCTGAAGACGTACACTAAGGATTTATTTTTTGAATAGAGTTGCCGCCTGTCTACAAAATTATAATATTTACATCTTTTGCATGATTTTCAAAAATGAGGTGACAAATGAAAGGCCTTGGCCTCTAGAAATTAAATAAGTTTTTATTTTTTTGTACGGTTCGTTGGATTAAAAAAAATAAGGGGTTAAATGAAAGGGCTGGGCCTGAAGACGTACAATAAGGATTAATTTTTTTAATAGAGTTTTAGCCTGTCTACAAAAGTAAAATATTTACATCCTTCGCATGATTTTCAAAAATGAAGCTTCAAACGAAAGGGCTTGGCCTCTAGAAAATTTGTAATATTTACACTGTTCACCCGATTTTCAATACTGAGGTGTCAAACGAAGAGGCTATCTAAGAGGAATCTAAAGATGTGCAAGAAGTGTTATTTTTTTGGACAGGGTATTTTTATAAATTTTAAAATCTGGCCCGTTCGTTGGGTAAAAAAAAAAATTAGGTGTCAAATGAAAGGATTATGCCTCTATATGTAAAATATGCTTTAAACTAAGCAAAACTATTTGGTTTTAATCAGTTGTTATACATATACATATATATATTCATATACAAATTTAAGTGCAGAATTAAATAAATATACATACATACATATGTACATAGAATATAAATTATCTTTATCAGTTTTAATTTAAGTATTTTCATGTACATATATACTTACATACATATTTACCCGTACATAAATGTAAGTGCGGAAATAAATAATACTTTAATATGAAATTTCAAAAAATATTTCATTTGACACCTAATTTGTTTTAATTTAACGAACGGTCCCGATTATAAAGTTTATAAAAATATTGTAACCCTGTCCAAAAAAAGAACCCTTCTGCACATCTCTAGATTCCCCTCAGATAGCCTCTTCGTTTGACACCTCACTATTGAAAATCCGGTGAACAGTGTAAATATTACAATTTTTTAGACAGGTGGAAACCCTATTCAAAAAATAAAAACTTATTTAATATCTAGAGGCCAAGCCCTTCAATTTGTCACCTAATTTTTGAAGATCATGCAAACGATGTAAATATTATAATTTTGTAGACAGGCGGCAAAATAAATCATTATTGTACGTATTCAGGCCCGGCCCTCTCATTTGACTCCTTATTTTTTTTTTAATCCAACGAACCGTGCAGATTTTATAATTTTCAAAAAGGTGGCAATCTTATTCAAAAAATAAAAACTTATTTCATATCTAGAGGCCTAGCCCTTTCATTTCACACCTCATCTTTGAAAATCGAATGAACGGTGCAAATCTTATGCAATTAACAAAATTGCCTTCGCATAGTATCTCTAGCCACACCAACTTTCCGCGAATGTTTGACACAGCATTTACATTCACTTATGAACGAGAACGACAGCAGTGAACGTTCGCGAAAGCATCGATGCCACTTATAGCTACATATATGAACGCACGCTGTTTGGTCTACCAATACATACGCGGACGATCTGGACTTGTATGCCTCTCGTTCGCGAAGGAGAATCAATAGAAAATATTTGATACGTTCGCGTATAAAATCATAGATGTATGTACGCAAACGTTCATATATGAATATTTCCAAACCCTGGTTTATAACAAAAATAGATGAGAAAAAAGTGTATATTATGCAATTATCTATAAAATTTTTAAAATTTTTCTTCCTAGCGATTCAAAAAATTGTGTTCTTCATAATATGAACAATTTACACTGTACTTGTGAGGTAGTATTTTCCCCGGTAAGCGCACTCCACGACTTATTGTAGTTGTTTGATTAAATAGTATTGCATGAAATAAAAATAGTACCATTGGAAATGATGAAAGCGGTGTGAATAAAAAGTAGTTAGAGAAAACATTAATCTAATTGATAATTCCACTAGTTTACAAGAACTGCCACCTGTTGCATTCAAAAACTTAAAAAATATTCGAAATGTGAATCAGTGTTATAAGAGAGTCATATTTCATCGTAAACCGTGCAGCCGTTGCTGGGTGAAGAGAAGTCTCGCATAGTGCATTTTTTTTAATTCATCAAATTTTTAAACACCCTAGACCGGTGGAAAAAGTTCATAATTACGAAAATTTAAAACTTCATCACAGATCTATAGGCTAAGGTCTTTAATTTGACAGCTCATTTTTGAAATTCCTTTTAAGAAGTATTCTCAAACTAAACCTTCTTAAATCTCTTTCATCTGACATGGTGATATACATGTACATTTTTCAATAAACTGATGAACTAATTTGAATTTGATTGAACACATAGCAACCCTCCTAAATAAAGGTCAGAAATAAAGCTTTTTCGAACCCATTTCGATCGATACTCATCTTTTAATAATTCATCCCACTTATTGAACAATTTGAATGTAACTTTTTCAACACGCGGCAATCCTTTTCAATCATTCCAAAACTTCAAACTAAAGATTTCTTAACATTCTTTTGTTTGACCAAAGGACATAAATCTATAAGAGGAGACAACACGTTATAATTGTAGCGAGTGTGAACATCAGGAGCGTGCCTTCTCTTTTCATCCAATCATAAAACGTATTTGGGCAAAAGAGAAAGCACGCTCCTGATGTGTCCACGCGTTACAATTATAACGTGTTGTCTCTTCTTATAGATTCACGTTCTTTGGTTTGACTATGGAATTTTTATATTTCTTATACTAATTGAATTAGACCTTTCAAACAGGTGGCAGCGCTTTTCAAGCTTAATCCTTGTTAACTCTCCTTCGTCGGACATTGCGATACATATTTTAATTAACTGATGAATTAAGTGGAATTTAACACAACATGTGGCAACCCCGCTAAATATTAAGAAAAAAAATGCAAACCCCCTTCGTTTGGTACGCAAATTTTAATAATTCGGTTAAGTTATTAAATAATTTGAATTTAACTTTTTAAAGAGATGGTGACCCTCTTCCAACAGCTCAAACATATTCTTAGAATCTGGCCGATTAATCGGCTAGTATCGGCCAAAAGAATCGGCATCGGCACCGGTCGTTCTTGGCCGATTCTTTTTACTTTTTCCGCAATTTAAAAAAATATTCGTCAAAATTTGAAACTGTTTAATCAGATTTGTTAGAATATTTTTGAGTACGCAGTTTTTTACATTTTAGTATAATAAAGTGCAAGTTTGAAGCAAGGTACATTAAAAATAGGTAGAAGCCAATTTGACGTCAAACTTACAAACGTCAAAGGTTTCGGGAGAGCAAAAATGAGAATGAGGATGTGAAATGAAAAACAAAAAATTACATTTGGCTGACGTTTTTAAGAAAATTTTAAGTTTATTTTCCTTAGGACGCTTTTATCAACTTGTGAGGTTGTATGTCCAGACCACCATAAATACTATAAATATATAGCAAAGGTATTTACGGCAAACTTAGTCTAGATATCAACCTCGTCGTAGGTATCATATCAAAGACATAGAATTAGAAAAACTCTAGAGATAGATGTCGCCTCGCCAGAAGAAGTTAAAAATATCCACTACATACGCTACAGCGGAAATGGATGCCACGCCATTTCTTTAAATGAAATTAATTGCTGCTATATGTATGTATGTACATATGTAGGCATATACTAAATGTGAGCAAACATTTTGCTTGCATAGTCTTCTGTTCTCTTTTCACTGCAAGTTGAATTATTTTAGTATCTATTGCAAAATTTTATACAGACAAGACTAAAAAGTAGAAAATAAATTTTAAAAAAACTTTTTATAAATGGACTAAAATTAGAAAATAATATTTCTCAGTCCCATAGAACTGGTTTTGATAACTTTTGATTTTGAAATTTTAGAAAAAGTCATTATAAACAATTTATGAGATTGAAAATGAAAAGCGTGGGGCGCATGTAATAGGCCTGATTTGAAATTGAAGAGTAATATATGTATGTATGTGGGTATATTAGTAACGACCGCTTAAAATCGATCTCAAAGTTGTACTTTCGCTGTAGAAATTTTAGGTCTATGTTATGTATGTAGTTTGAATATTGTCAATTAAATCTAATGTATTGCATGCGCTCTACGTTTTCCGTTTTCAATCTCATAAATTGTTTATAATGACTTTTGCTAAAATTTCAAAATCAAAAGTTATCAAAACAAATTCTATGGGACTGAGATATATTATTTTATTATTACAACGCTTTTATCAACTTGCAATGTTGTATGTCCAGACCCCCATTTATACTAGCTGAATTCTTTTGTAAGCGAGCGACAAAAGAACGCTCAACTCTGGTAAAATTTCCTTTTAGCCACTTAAGCAACCCTGTTGGTAGCTGGCAAGAAAATGTGATTAGTTTAACGGGATTTAGATACAAAAACCAATTTAAATGAGTAATTATACGAGGTATTTGCGTAATATATATACTCTTCTAAAATATAAGTCACGTATAAAAAGGAAGCAAAAATTTGCCTCTCCGCTTTCCCATTAGCAA